CTCGAGGTCTTCCACTTTGTCGCTATTCTTCTTCATCTCCTTCAAGGTCTGCCCGCGTGGCGGGAAGGCCGGGCCCCATACATTTGGCGGGGCGCGCGCCGGTGTAGACCAGACAAGACACCAGGAACGCCTTCGATGTAGCGCATACCAGTTCGAACAACATCTGACCGATGACGTCCTCCTGCTCGATTTGTGGCTTCAGCGCGGACTCCGCCTCGGCGGTCCGAGCGAACCCAACCGAACTCAGACCATCAGGGTCGCCCATCCTCGGGAAAGCTTTGATCGCCATCCTGCTCATGCCGTTGAAGACGAGGTCGCGAAGGCCGTTCGCCGCCCCCAGGAGCGCATGGCACTCCGTCTTGCAGCGGTCGAACCATTGGGCATACACGTCGAGCCCAGCAACGATCACCTCTGCTACTTGGTTGCCGAAGTGGTTCCGAAGGACGCACGCCGTGAAGTGAAATGCGTTCTTGCACTTATTCCGCATGGCTTTCACTGCTGCGTTTGATTATATGACGCTTTTCAGGGCGGTCCCGTCTCCGCGCGCTGCCTCGGCAGCGCATGCCGCCGCCGCCTGCGCGCCTGATGCAGCTGTCACCTGGGCGGCATCAGCGGCAGCGGCCCCGGGCTGCGGCCCCGCGCTGCCAGACGCCGAGCTAGACGCAGCGCCCGATCCTGGCGATTGGGCTGCCAGCCCAGCGGGCGCGCCGTCGCCGTCGTCTTGGCCCACGTCGTCGTCGCTGCCCTGCTCCACGTCGTCCTCGCGCCCCAGATCCTCGTCGGCGTCCGGGCGCAGGCGGGGTGCCGTTGGCTGTCTTCCACCAGCCCTGGAGCATGCCCATGTAAGTGAGGACCAGGAGATGGGGCGCCTTGTGCCCACGGAAGCCTTTGTTGGCGTTGATCAAACTAGCCCACCTTCGTCGGACGGGCCAGGAGCCCACCAAAAAGGCCGAAGATGGCCCTAAGATGGGCCAAGACGGCCCAAGAGGCCTCCAAGAGGGCCTCCAGGAAGGCCCGAAGAAGGCCAAAGTCATTGATTCCCCGTGAGTTGTTGAAGGGTTGTGGCATTTGTTTTTTTGTTGCCTTCCGACTGCCCGAGACGGCCCAAGTGCTCCCAAAGATCGCTCAAGAGGCCCAAGACGGCCCCAAACTTGACGCGGTCACCTTTCGCGTGGGAAAACACCGCAGGTCCTCAGGCGCTCCCACGTCGTCGCCATGTAAGAACGGCTCCCGTAGTCGCTATCAGACGTCGCGCCCCACTCTCTACAAACGTCCTGGGCTCAGGATTGCGGAAGCTCAAGCGGGGGATGCGAGCGAGGAACATGGTGCCAACTTATTGGCCGCGAACGACGGCGGGAAGGAAGAGCACGGAGCATGGCGAGGATGAGGAGGTGGAGAACGACGGTGCAAACGATGCAAACAGGCATGAGCGAGGACGGGAAAAAGCACGACGATGGACATTTCGGGGCGCGAATCAGTCGGATGGAGGAGCGGCGAGCGATGGCCGAGGGCGGGGGGGGTGAAGGAGTGGAGCCAGAAAGGGGAGAATGAAGGGACCGAGGAGAACGGACCAACGGGAAGGGATGAGGGGAGACGACGGGGAAGGACGGCGCAAATTTGTGGCCCCATTGCGGGCACCAGGCAAGCGCCTTGCGGGGCCCCGCATCACTTTGGCCCCGACGGTCGTTCACATAGTTATCATATGACCCGCTGTGCTTATCCACCCTTCCCTTGCTGTCTCGTCGCATCCTCCTGCTCGTCCTCATCGTGCTCTTCCTCGTGCTAGCTTAATGCCTGCCCCACCGCAATCATTACCATCGCGCCCCATCTTCTCCATATCATCATCATCATCATCATCATCATCATCATCATCATCATCATCATCATCATCATCATCATCATCATCAGCAGCAGCAGCAGCAGCAGCAGCAGCATCATCATCGTCATCATCATCATCATCATCGTCATCATCACCCTCAGTCAGCATTCTACGTAGCCATCTTGGCACAAGCCATTCGGTTGTCGCCACCGCGGCAACCTGCTCAACTCTTGACGCTTCGCGCAAGCGCCCCCGTCGCCAGGGGCCCCAAGAGGGCCCCAACGATGCTCCGAGAGGGCAACATAGGGCCCGGGATGGCTCCACGAGGGGCCCGATATAGCCCCAGAAGGTCCCCGATGGGGGCATTAGGAGGGCGGGGGCTCGCGCTGTCAAGCCGACGTCTTGACAGCGCGTGCCCCCCTGGTGCCAGGGGCCTCAGGAGGGCCTCGAGAGGGCCTCAAGAGAGCCCACCTGGGCCCAATCGAGCCCAAGAGGACTCCAATGGGGGCTCCAAGGAGGGCTCAATATGACCCCAATCGGGACCAGGCGGGCCCCGAGAGGGCGTGGTTCGCGCTGTCAAAACCAACGCGCTGACAGCGCGAGCGCCCCTGTCGCCAGGAGCTCCAAGAGGGGTCCCAGAGGCCCTACAAGAGTTCGAGGGGCCCCCCGCTGGCCTTCCTGGCTTCCTGAGCCTCTCTCGGGGCCCTCTTGGCGCCGTCTTGGGCTCCTCGCCCGATGCCCTTTCTGAGCCCCGATCGCGCCGCCAGGGACCCCCAGGAAAGGAGGGGGTCTGACGAACCATCTGCGCCCAGACGATTGGCATGGTTGCAAGGCCACTGCAAGGCATCGCAGATCCGTTTGCACGGAGTCTCCAGGCCTTCCACGGCATTGCAGGGCCGCATTGCATGGCATTGCAGGGGCCTGGCGCGAAGGGTCTTGCAGCGTCGTTTTGCAAGGCGCTGCAAGGAATTAAGGTCCGCGCGGAGTCGCTGCGCACCCCTCTGCAGGGCATTACAAGGTTTGCGGCGAAGGCCTAGGGAGAGGGCAGGGAGAGGAGTTACCATTGGAAGTTCGAGGACCCAACTTGGGGACGAAACCGCCGCGCAAAAGAGCGGGTGGGATTATCATCGCGTTGGTCGCGCTCCCCCCAATGGTCCCCCAGCCTCATGCCACCCCGCCCGCGTCCATCGTACGAACGCGGTTTCTGCTGCCCCCCGTGCGTCCCCGCGCGTGCTGAGGTCGACCTCGCGTCGAGGCATTCCTCGGCTGCGCCCCTGACCTCGGAAAAGAAGCCGCGCTTGCCATGGGGGGCAGACGTGATGTTGAACGCAGCGGTGCGCTCGCACGCAACTGCCCAAAGGGCCGCGTCGACGAGCCCCTGCTTCGTGTCGTTGAAGAATCGATGCCGATTGTCCTCCATCGCTTCCCTGGCCCTCGCCCCGCGCGCGCGCCCGCGCCCCCTTGCCTCGCGCCCGCCGCGCCCTTCGCGTCGCCCGCGCTTCCTCGGCCCGCGCGCGCGCTGCCCGCCGCGGCCAGCACCCTCGCCCATCGCCCGCGCCCGCGCCCCATTGACCCAGGTCCGCTCCGCATTCCGCCGCGCCCGCGCATTCTTGATCCACGCGCGCGCCATCCCCCGCTTCGTCGACGCTCGCCCCTCGCCCGCGCCCGCGCCCCCTTGGCCCGCGCCCGCCTCGCCCTTCGCCCCGCCCGCGCTTCCGCGATCCGCGCGCGCGCTATCCCCCGCTTCCCCGGTGCTCGCCCTGCGCTCGCGCCCGCGCTCCCTTGGTCCGCGCCCGTCTCATCTCCCGCCCATTTCCCTGGCCCGCGCGCGCCGCCCTCCATTCCCCCGATCCTCGCCCTTCACCCGAGCCCGCGCCGCCACGGCCCGCGCCCGCCTCGTCCTCCGCCTCGTCCACGCCTCCTTGATTCACCTTCACGTCTGCCCCCGCTGCCTCGGTTCCCGCCCTTCACCCGCGCCCGCGCTTCCTGGGTCCACGTCCGCATCGCCCTCGGCCCCATCCCCTTGACCCGCGCGCGCGCCACCCCTCGCCCCCTCGCCACCCGCTCGCCGCCCAAGCCCCTGATTCCTTGGTCCGCGCCGGCCTCAGCTCCGGCCTCATCCGCTCTTGCACGGCCCATGCGCGCGCCATCTTCCGCTTCCTCGATCCTCGCCCTTCGCCCGCGCCCGCGCTTCCTTGATCCGCGTGCACCGCATCCTCCGCCACATTAGCGCTTCCTTGATCCGTGTACGCACCATCCTCTGTTTCCTTTATCCTCGCCGTTCGCCCACGTCCGCGTTTCTTTGATCCACGTCCACCTGATCCTCCGCCGTATCCACGTTTTCTTGATCCATGTTCGCGTCATCCTCCGCTTCCTTGATCCTCGCCCTTCGCCCGCGTCCGCGCTTCCTTGGTCCACGACCACCCCATCCTCACGGGCATCCGCGTTTCCTTGGTCCGTGTGCGCGCCATCCTCCGCTTCCTTGGTCCTTGCCTTTCACCCACGTCCACGGTTCCTTGGTCAACGTCATCCTCATCCTCCGCCTCATCCGCGCTTCCTTGATCCATATGCGCGCCATTCCTCGCTTCCTCTGTATCCTCGCCCTTCACCCACGGCCGCGCTTCATTGATCCACGCCCGCCGCATCATCCGCCTCATGAACGCCTCCTTGATCCATGTACGCGCCATCCTCCACTTCCTTGATTCTGGCCCTTCACCCACGTCCTCGTTGCTTGACCCACGTCCGCATCATTCTCCACCTCACCCACGCTTCCTTGATCCACGCTCGCGCCATCCTCCGCTTCCTTGATCCTCGCCCTTCGCCCATGTCCGCGTTTCCTTGATCCACGTCCGCTTCATCCTCTTTCCTCCTTACTCGCGCTTCCCTGATCCATGTGCGCGGGATCCTCCGCGTTTGGGGAAACCAAATGTACCGCTACTCCCCGGAACTCTCCTGGGGTGCGTTCCGGCCAGAATCTCGCAACGAATCCAGCGGTGGCGGCGAGGACCTCCCGGGAGGCCCAAAGAGGGGAAAAGGGGCGAATGGTAGCGGTATGGGTACTTTTTCCTCCTCTGAGTTTCCTTGGTTCTCGCCCTTCACCCACGTCCGCGCTTCCTTGATCCACGCTCCGGTTTGCCTGAGCCTTCGCCTCCCCAGGCGCCCCCCCTGGCGCGGGCGGAGCCTCCGCCTGCCAGTCGGGGCACGCGCGGCGGAAAAAGAGGCAGCCCAGCGCCTGGACACCCGCAAGGGCGTGGTCCAGCACCTTCGGGCTGCTCTTGGCTGCGGCGTCCGAAGGCGGACAAGGGTCCAGAGGAGGAGGAGGAGGAGGAGGAGGAGGAGGGATGGTGGAGTAGGACTGAGGAGGACGGAAGGCGGAGAAGCATGGAGGATGAGAACACGGGGAGGAGGAGGAGGAGGCGGAGGAGGAGGAGGAGGAGGAGGAGGCACAGCAGCAGCAGCAGCAGCAGGACAGTGGAGGAGGACAGAGGACGACGGAGGAGGAAAAACCAGAGAGGAGGACGGACGAGGAGGGAAGAAGAAGGGGGAGTGGCAGGGTCGGTCAGCAAAGGCTTGCGCGGGTCTCTCACGCATGTCCGAGAGAGGCTCTCGCCGAGCATCGGGCACCTCCGGGGAACTCGCGGGACCTAAGGCCGCGGAGACCTTGGGGCCAGGGAGGGGGGTGGGGAGGGAAGGATGGAGGTCCAGGAGGGGGGAGGGAGGGAAGGAGGGGGGGACGAGGGGGGTGGGGTGGGGGGGAGCCAAGTCCGTCTCGTCCAGGCACGTGGCTGACCCCCCTTGCGGCGATGGCCCCCGTGGCAGGCCCGAGCGTAGCCCACCTGGCGCACGCGGTGGTCTCGGTCGAGTGGGAGGCCGCGCCGATGGCGGCCCGCCCCTCCTCGAGGCTCTGCGCCAGAACGCCTGAGCCCTTGCGCGAGGCAGCAGCGAAGAAGAACAAGGTGAATGATGGCGCTCGCCTTGGGCACGCTGCGCTACGCACCTGAAATCGGACGACGGCGGTGGCCAAGCGGCGCGGACAAACTCAGGAGGGCCCCGCAGCAGGACCACCCCCGCAAGCTGAGCAGAGACCTGGGCACGGACCGTGCCTGCCGTGCCTTTCCTGGCTGCCCTACGTCGCGGCCGATGCTCGTGCAGGCAAGGACCCACCAACGCGCGGAGCCCGTTCGCCCAGCCTGGCTCCTGCGCGAGCCCCGCAAACCTCTGCGGAGCGCGGCGACCCAGCACTCCGCGCATGCGGAGATGGGGCGGGGATGACGCCCGCTGGGACAGACGACAGCCAGCCTGAGAGCAGCGTCCACGGCAGCGGGGAGCGCGGGCCCACCCGCCGGGCCCCGCGGGGAGCTGCCCTGCTGCGGGAGTCGAGTCGAGCATGGCGGGCAGCGGCTGGCATCAAGAGCAGCCGAGAGCCAGGCGTGGCCCCCGACACCAAATCACGATCGCGCGGGCAGGAAACGGAGGAGAGGAGGGAGGCCGGCCAGGGAAACGTGGAGGGAGGAAGCGGAGCCGGCCAGGGAAGACCATGAAGAAGGAGGGAGGCGCTCTCCTCGAGCGAACAAAAACGGAATGCGGATCGGCGGCTCAGCGTGGGCACTTTGCAACGCAACGCAACGGCAATACGAAGCCAGGACGAAGACAACATCGGGTAATGATAAATCAACAAATCTTTGAGATCCCCTGGATCTGGAGGATGTCTCGGGCGCCGCGGCCTTCTCAGAGCGTTCCGGAACGTTCTGAGAGCGTTCCGGAACGCTCAGTTACGGATTTATCCTCGTCTTAGCCCCATTCGACACGGACCCGTAGGGAGGCGCTCTCCTCGAGTTGGCGAGCACAGAATGCGGTCCCGCAGGGCGATGGAGCCAGATTGAGGTGACAATCGGCCGGACTGATGAGCCCAGATTAGGCGGATGAGGCCAGATGAAACGGGACTGTGCTTGATTATGTTCGGTGGGTCTGGCTTTCGGCCACGGACGTACCAGCGCCGATGCCGAATTCAACCTCCCAACGAGTTGCATCCAAACCTGCCTCCCATTGCGGCCGACAGAACATAATAGAAGGCTACAAGGAGGATGCGCCATACAATCCCCGCGAGGAATGCGTGACGGCAAGGACAAAGTGGCAGCGTATGCGAGTGGGTGGGCGAGCGTGGGCAAAGCCAAAATTGCAGAAGCTGTATTGCTTTCTCCTGTCCACGGAGTGCTGAGTGGAAGCTGCAGTGATGAGAACGTGCGAACGGCTGGTGCAACATTGCGGCAAACTGGAGAGAAAGACGGTATGTGACGTCACTCGTGCAACGTTCATCCACCGCCAGTCAAGCAGGTGCTCGACAAGTGTAATGCCATCAAGCGCCTCGCATGACGATCGGATCATGTTCCACTCAATTTGGCTTCAAGCCATCCGAAGCGCACCGATACCGACTCGTTATCCAGACGACGCGCAATCGATTATGGGCCTTGTCATGTGCCTACGTGGTTCAGAACCGCATCAGGCTGCACGGTTGAGATCCTGCTTTCGTATTGTTGGGCTCAAGTGGAGGAAAACAGATCTGTCGCAATGGTGGTACGACATGAGGTGCTGAAGTGCAAAAGTACAGCGATCCGACCGCATGTCCACCGCTGCATGCAGTCTTATCACTGCCACACGAACGTGGATCACAAAAAGGAGCCGCATCTGCGCCGGCGCCCGCTGCCAACAACCAGCGCCACAATGCAAGATCCATCGGCATTCGGAAACACCCTGCGGCGAAGACGGAATGCTGACAAGCTGGTGGCAAAAACAAAACACAAACACAACACAACGTTGCAAGCACAATGGCTTGAGCCAAGAGCCAGAATGGATATGGTATGAGCAAGAGGAGGAAAAGAGGAACCGGAAAACTGGGCAAAGTGGATGCCAAAGGCGGCTGTCACGCGCACCATCTGGCAAGAATCCTGGCGCAAGCCAGGAGTACCACAGCCCCCGCAGTTCCAGCTGAGAGTGAGAGGGCGGCGGGGTTGTCGGCAGTCTGCGAGCCTCTGACGAAGCTCGCCGCAGGCGCCGATTCTTTTAACACATTACACTACGAGCACGCCGCAGGCGCTTACATTTAGCCAACGCAGTGTGGGTGGGTCGCTCGCAGCTCCGTGCGCGCCACTGCAAGGCCCTGAGTGGGTAACCTGAGCACGAGTTGCGTCCGCTTGAGCACGATTCAGCATCCACGCGCCCGAACAGCCAATCCAAAGGCAACTGCACCCCCGCGAACCACATGGACCGGTCAAGATCTCGCGTTCGTGGAACGGCGATTCGCACAAACTCTCACACGGGGAGGTGTTCAGGTCACGACACCATCCGCATCTCTGGGGCTGGCCAGGGTGGCCCTGGAGAGCGCGGACAGGCGCGGGCACCGCAGCGCGGCCCAGGAGAGGCCGTCGAGGCCAAACGGGCGACCTGGCAGGAGCGCGGCGTCGGGCACGGCAGCGAGAGCCCCAGAAGGCCTGGGGACGGCGAGGGGCCAGGAAGGTTTCAGCCTTCCTCCTGGAGCACGCGAGGGGAAGCACGGCCGGGAAGACCGCTGCCCCCTCGTCGCGAACGGCGAACATGTCCACATCCACGCCCTCGCGGTCTGGACTCCAGGGCGCCGAACCCATGGTTACGCGGTCGCATGGATGCGTCCCGCGCGGGGCATCGGCGAACAACAGACCCCGTATCCACGGGGTCGCGGCCCAGGTGCCTCGCCCGCGAGGCAGTGGATACGGGTATGTTTTCCGCCCACGGCCTCGGGGGGGTTCGCAACAACCCGTTCGCACTGCCAGGAATCTTTGTGAGGGCCCTTCTCGAGGAGGAGAACATGGGGACCAGGATCAAGACCAAACGTCGTGTCGATCTTGGTCACCGTCGATCTTTGTCAACGTCAACTCGTGGGTCGCCCTCGCGAACCGGCGACGACCGACATGGACCATAATCTAGATAAGCATCCACACGGTCCCTGTGTATCTTAAAACTCAGGGGGTGGCAGGGCGCCTGTTTCCATCGCATTCGCCTGCCTCGCGATCGGCGTGGGGTCAAGGCAGGCTGCGCATCTGCCTTTCTCCTTGACACTTCCTCCCCCTCCTGCGTCGGCAAGGGATTGGGAACCATTTCGAGCGGCTGAATGCACGCGCGCGTGCGAGCGAGGGACAGGAGTGAAAAGTACGAGCTGGGAGACTGGTAGAGGGGCAGCCGCAGCATCTCGCTATTTTCAGCACCCAGGGCAAGGACAACCACTCGTCAGCAAGAGTGAAGTTGTACGCGGAGCATCTGCACAGGCCGCCAGTTTGTATCGTATAGTTGCGCTCAGCAATGCCAGTTCGAACACTCTTGGGGGTACTCTGCAACTCCAGGTGGCCGCCATGGAATCCGCCAGTCCTCTTGTGAGGCCTCCAGACTGTGAGCAGCCATGTTGCATTGGCTTTAGCATTGCCGTTGTGAATGAGATTGAATACAATAATTGCTTACATATGCCCTCCTTTGCAAGTAGCGTACTCCAACCACGCCCCAGGAGGTTCCCAAAACTCTTGCCTCCCCAGAGTCGTAATAACTTACGCTGGATCCACGCTCCCAAGGTCACAACCGCTCGTGCATTGCACTGGATCTGCGCGTCCAGGGCCACGAACCTTCGTAAGTTACACTGGATATGCGCTCCCAGGGCCACGATCCCTCATGACTTCACTCCACTCGCACTCCCACGGCCACGACCTCTCAAAAAAAACGCTGGATCCGCGCTCCCAGGGCCGCGTTCTATCATGATTTCGCTGGATTCACGCGTCCACCACCACGACCCGATATAAGAGAGAGCGCGTCTCACGGGCGCTTCCTTTGAACAAATGCCCACCCACCCCGTCCGGAAACCTGGGGGGAGGGAAACTCCCCGCCCGAGGTTCGACCCAGGGGGAGGGGAGCCCCGTCCGACACGCTGTTTGTATGGTTACAACAAGGCATCTTTGATCGCCTTCCTAGCGATTGGAACGCTATGGATCATCAGTTAACTCATCATGCATGGTCGTCGTCTTCGTTATTCTTCATGTTCCCGTTTCTGTTTCTTCTTTTTCTTATTATTATTCTTCTCCCGAAGTCTGTTTGCAACGTCTTTACACAAGGACACCTTTTGTGCCGACCTTACAAATCGATGTTTACCCTGAAGCATCTGCAGTGGCCTCCACAATTAGAATCCCTGTGTAGCAGCCTGTACAAAGGGAGTTCTTGTGTGGCGGTCTTACAACAGGGTTGAAGTGTAGGGGATCTGCAGTGGCGGCACCTTGAGCCCAGAAATTGAGGGATGAGAAAACGACCCTACCCTGGGTTACAAGTGCGTGGTCTGTAAACCTCCTGGGCACCCCCAAAGCCTAGAGCCGCCAGGACGCGGCACATCACGCAGGGTTTACCCTGTCAGCCCACAGGAGTTTCAGCGCACAGCGCCTCGTAAACCAGGGTAGGGGCGTTTTTTTTATCCCCTTGAAGAAGAGCTAGAGAGGAAAACAGGAAAAACTGAAAAAACAACAAAAAAAAAAAAAAAAAAAAAGCCAGGCGAAGGAACCATTAGCAGTGATACGTACCGCAGTTGGGAACCATCTTCGGTGGATCCTCCTATGCGGCCACGAAGCGTTTGAGGGGTGTGCCAAATTAGCCACTCGGCGGCAGGCTGCCTTTTCCACTGGGGCGTTCGGTGGAGCTCCCTATAGGGCCACGAAGCGTGCGATGGGGTGTTCAGAAATGGGGCGGCACCGACGTGCGGACCCTGCCGATGCTGCTTTCGGTGGTTCCGCCTCAGGCCACGAAACGTGCGAGAGGTGCGCCGAAATGTGGGATGGAACCGCATGCGGGCGCTGCCTCTGGGGCCTCAGGTGGAACGCCCTGTGTGGCCACGGAACGCGTGAGGCGTTCGCCGAAATGGGAGGGTGGAACCGCATGCCAACACAGCCATTGGGGCCTTCGGTGGAGCTCCCTATGGGGCTACGAGACGTGTGAGGGGTGTGCCGACATGGCGAGGTGGCGGCATGCGGACCCTGCCGCTGCGGCCTTCGGTGGAGCTCCCTATGTGGCCACGAAACGTGTGAGGGGTGGGTCGACATGACGAGGTGGCGGCATGCGGGCCCTGCAACTGGGGCCTTCGGTGGAGCTCCCTATGGGGCTACGAAACGTGCGAAGTGTGTGCCGAAATGGCGAGGTGGCGGCATGCGGGCCCTGCCACTGGGGCCTTCGGTGGAGCTCCCTATGGGGCTACGAAGCGTGCGAGAGGTGCGCCGAAATGGCGAGATGGCGGCATGCGGGCCCTGCCACTGGGGCCTTCGGTGGAGCTCCCTATGGGGCTACGAAACTGGGAGGGGTGTGCCGAAATTGCGAGGTTTTGGCATGCGAAC